GGGAAATAGGTCAGAGTCTGTGTGTGTGTGTGTGTGTGTGTGTGTGTGTGTGTGTGTGTGTAATTTTGAAACATGACAGGATTATAAAGTATCGTTCAGTGTTGCAAAACTAAATTGGCCAAAGAGACTTAAGGAGGGGTAAAAAGAGAAGGCAGAGGAAGAGTGGTGATAAGATGAGAGGGGAGGGAAACTGAAGAGGTGAATGAGAGAGGTGACGAGAAAAGGAGAGGAGAAGAGAAAGAGAGGAGAGAGAAGAAGGAAAAAAGATGTGTGAGTAAAGAGAGAAGAGGGTTTGAAAACAGGGCAAAGATGAGGGAAAGAAGAGAGAAAAAGAGGAGCAATAAGGAAAAGCAAGCAAAGAAAATAGAAGAGCGGGAAGATGAGAAATAAAGGGATGAAAAAGGAAATAAATGAGAAAAAAGGATATGAGGAATCAAGGCAGTAGTGAAGACAAGAGGAGAAAGGAAAAGGATAAGGACAGGAGATGGGAGGGAACAAGAGAGGAGAAGGAGAAAATATGAGCAATAAGAAGAAGGGAGGTGAGAAGAACAGCTGAAAGGATTAAGAAGAGGAGATGAGAAGAGAGGGATAAGGGTAGGGAAGGAGAGAAAAGGAAAGGGGGAATATGATGAAAGAAGAGTGAAGGAAAGCAGAAGAATGAACAAGAAGAAAAGAGAAAATGAGAAGAAGAGAGAAGAGGAGGATTCAATAGAGCTGAGGAGGAGAGAGGAGAGGAGAGGCCATGGGGAGAGTCTGTACTTGGAAGTAGAGTAACTGATGGGGAGGTTGTCTGGGGAAACCAAAAACAAGAAAGAATGAAAGCATGAAAAAGGAGACAAGAAGAGGAGAATGTTGCCTTTGATACAGGGGTGCTGAGGGGTAATTTCTCTGTTTGCAAGTCTGTGTATGTGTGTGTGTGTGGGGGGGGCAACCTGGGGTACAATAGGGGCCTGACAGGGCAACAATGGAGACTCTGTTAGTATGCAGGTAGTGTTGGGGCCACCCTGCAATCTCCCCACATGGCCCCAGGCAAGACCTTACACACACACACACACACACACACACACACACACACACACACACACACACACACACGAGAAAGAACTTCTAAACAAGATAAACTTCAGTGTGGACATGTGCGAGTTCATGTTCCACACACACAAGCAGATACAGACAAATAAGATGAACTCAATCGCACACACCGACAATGATGAAATCAAGAACTTCTCATCATGTTGAGAGTGGTTTGCATTTATTAAACAAGAAGAATCACACATGCAGCAACAGTAGCTCCAGGGTCGGCCTGTGTTATGTTGCCTATACTGGTGATGATTTTCCAGCCAAATGCAGCAATGCAAATCAAAGTTGTTAAGCACTTTAACATGTGGTCACACAGAGCACTGAAGCTGTCCTGGGTGGTAACAGCTGTTTTGTTCAGGTTTCCCAGCCACTGGTCCATTCATCAGCTGCATTGCACCCCAATGCAAGTGTACAACACCATCATTAGAACACCTCTCACTATACTTAATGTTTTGGTGCCATCCCAACCTCCTCTTTAAATGCTTTATTATTTCACCAAACTGTAATGTTCACGTACTGTACTGTAGGTATTGAGTGCCGTAGGAATAACATACTTTTGTAGGCCGGCCTGAAGTTAGCAGCACTCAGGTTCCTTTGACAAAACAGCCAATGTGATTTTTCCTTTTTGGATTGTTGCAGAAAAAAAGCTCTGTGACAAACATTTATGACACTTTCATGTTTTATTTCAGCAAGATAATCACCACAAGTGAACACCACATTGTGAGTTTACAATACAATCACCAGAAGTAAAAAGCTATTGTTAGGCTATAAACAAACTACACCACGGTCCCATGACTTCAGCGTCACCACCACGGCTTCCGACCGCTCTTACCACTTCTACAAATTCCTTTCCTCTTAGCATGACCTGATCTAACTAGTGATCATGGCTGTGTTAGTTAGAATAGTTTGCAAGTGTGTGAGTATAGAAATAACTAGACTGTAAAGGCGGGCTAGTGAGTAGATGAGTCTCCGTGTTCGGTGTGATGATGTTTATCATCCCAGACAACTTCTGTAGTCTCATCTAGCCACTTGTTAGCAACCACCTATTTTAAGATGCGTAAAAGCATTAAAAAAGTCATGAGTGTGGTATTTACTGGCACATTTTATGTCATGGAACACAACATGAAAATGTGTTGGCCTTGTGTTAACCACAGACTGTATTTCAGCCATCTAACCCAAAATTCATTGACTTCAGGGTGAGGGAAGCTGAAGTGAAAAAGGCTAACTCAGTTCTGGGTTTTAAGATTCACTACTACAGCACTTTATTAAGGGCGGGTATTTCTTCTGGCAGAGTTTTTACTTTGAAGCCGTTCCCACCAAACTGTTTTCTATAACTGGTTAATTTATTAACATTAGAGTTTCTGACTGACATGTTTTTCTTTAACTGACAGTCAGTCATGATTGAGGCTTTGACTTTAGCTATTGGAGTACATATCACTTCAGCAAAACAACGGCCACCCCCCCCCCCCCCCAACTCACTCGGGCCAATTCTCAGAAGTGTTTATGGTTTCATCTGTGGGAAGCCAGAGTGATAGCATCTTCTTGTTACTGCACTAGCAGCTCTGACTGGTATGTCGGGGTGCCTGCAGGGAGGGCATGGGATGTCGGGGATAGCGACAACCTCCCTTGTGTTCAGCCGTCCCGGTGAGGTATCTGGCCAACAACAACAAGCACACACTCCCATGGATAACAGCAATAGAGTAAACAAAAATTTTACTGCAAGTGAAAT